TTTTTTTTTTATGATTGTAGGCAGCAAGAGACCCCTCCACCACAGCCCAAGCCAACTGTGCCCCAGACCTCTGATGCCCCTCTGGGAGGCAGCCGCTCCTGGGCCAACAGCAAACAGTCTGGGCAGCTGGATGGTAAGCCATTTCCTTTGTAAACCTTTTCATTGTCGTTAGCTCTCAAAATGCTACTCAGTGAACTGTAAATCCTTATCTAAACAAATTTAAGCCACAGAATAATCTTAATTAGCATGAGTTTTGAACTGCTAAAGCCATGTGCTTAAATGTTACTGTGTCTGCAGGAGCTCCTCGGATGAGCAGTCAGTTCCATCAGGAGTTTCCGAGTCTGCAGGCGGCAGGTGAGGCGGAGAAATCAGGCGATCAGGAAGATGAACCCTACGGGCCGGGCCCCAGCCTCAGGCCTCAGAGTAAGACCATCATCCTTCACATTTTCTTAAGAGCTTTGTGTAACATATTAGTTAAAACCGTTTAGAAAAAAGATATACATCAGTTTCTTAATGATAATTCATAAAAATAATCGTTATCACCCTTACGCTGGCCATTAATTTCCATTACCTACTCAGATGTGGGTAGCTGGCGGGAAGGTGGAGGCAGGAACTTAAACGTTGCTCCCAGCCCCTCAGAGACTGATGGTAAGCCCTCTGAGGAGTCAGGTGTGGGTCGAGGCACACCATCTCCCTCGGGGGACTCCGATGAGGCAGGGAAACCCTCTGCTGGGGAGGGCAAAGAAAGGAGAGATGCCAGAGACAGGCTCCCACCTACTGCCACTCAGCATAAACTCAATGGTGGCCAGCAAACAGCGAAAGGAATGTCATCTCAGTTCCAAGCTGCCCAGTTCAGGAGCATGATGCCGCCGTATGTAAGTGATGATTTAGCCATTGTGTATAATTTCATCTACCTGTTGAAATGTGACATGCTGCTGTGTATTGTTTTGTTTGGTACTGATTTTGTGAAGTCTATTTGGCAGTGCTATTTTAACCCTTTGAGCGGTACGGACCCACATGTGGGATTTTGAATGTTCGGTGATGTCACATAACTGCTACATTCAAACTGCTTTC